TTTCCCTACCTTAATGGGATCTACAGTTTCTCTGTTGCTAGGACTTAATTTAAAGCAAATTCACCTTGACTGTTAAAGCTCTTTTGCAATTCACTATGTACACTTTGTACTGTCATATTTCCTTTTATAAACAGATACTTGGTACACTACCAAATCAAAACCAAACAGAGTATAAGAACTCTTTTAATTTACAGGAAATTTTACTGTAAACAAAGCGTGTATGTCTGTTATCTCCCTTCCTGCAATGTTCATAATAGATCTTTAAATAAATCATTTTTATTATGAGTCAGGATTGCTGCAAGTATCAGCCAACTCCAATATAAGCCCAAGAGCTTGCATATTAATCTTCCTTGCTTATTTATATTTATTCACTTAGATATTATCCCCTCTTACTAGGAACTAATATAAATTAGGGTATTCTTGGTTAAATTATAGTCTTTTTTGGTTTTACAGAAAGTCAGATACAAATAAAAACTTTAAAAACACCTTCATTTTCCTGCACCTCACTGTGTGGTTTATGCTAGATCTATGGGCTCTTGACCCCTTGCTGATTAAACTCCAAAGGCTGGTTCTAAGTGGATCTGGAATAGAATTCAATGGGATGCTGAATAACCATTTGTCTCCAAAAACGTTAAATTCACCACTGTGTATGTTTACAGGGAACAAAATAACAACAGTATGGATGTGAACTTGAAACTCCAGCAAATTGCTTTAGAAGCATGATTCCTGAGGTCAATGGGGAAACTGAGAAGCAGAGAATTTAAGTGTTACTGTCAAAGCCATCTATTAAATTAGAGCTGGGTTAGACCAGAATCCTGTCTCCTGAATTTTACCTACTGGAGTATTTGAATTCTCTCATTAGGAGCAAACAGCTAGTAAAGGATAAGCTTCCAAGGGTTTGTACTGTGTGTTCTAATGCAATTCTAAATGTTTGGATGCCCCTACAAAGTTTACTCAAATCATCTAAACTTCTTTTATTCTGAAAAAGCGAGACAGGCATTTTCTAAGACTCAGACTTTTCTATAGCCTTCTGTTCCAGCTGCTTCTGACTGTAACATTTTTGTGGTATTCTGGTGTTCTGGTTGCAGATCTATCTGGAAAACAGAAGGCAGTAAAATGTGTTTGGACATTTCAGAACTTCATAATAAATTCAGTTTGAGTTCTGTTGTACAAAGATCTAAAATAGTTGTTTTCTTCTAAGTCTTCTTATCTGTCCCTGATGTCTGCTACAGCTTTGACAGGAATCTGTCTTCACTGATTTAAGGCATGTCTATTGTGCTACAAAGTGAAGATAGAATACCTTCTGAGGCTAAGTCATTTTAAACAAAAGCTACTCAAAAAATAGTCTGCTTGGCTTCCTTTTCTTCCAAGGAGACAGTAAGGGCTAGACCACACTAAATGATTTAAAGAGAGGTAGTAGATGTGACTGTAGGAGCTAATATCCAATCTTGTGCCTTTCTTCTGTTCACTCTGGTTGCCATCTTATATAATTACAACCAGAGTCAAGAGAAGAGAAATTTGAATTGCAGCAGCAACAATGATTGCATCAGACAATACAGGCTCATGAAGCAACGTAGCAATGAATAAGCCCTTAACTTGTTCTACAAGTGCTCTATGATGGGTTACATCACATTGGAGTAGAGAATCTGGCACAAGGAAATCAAGACTCAAGTTATGAAGTAATGCTATCGTGGTTCAGTTGCCATCAATGGAGTTATATATTTTTTTGAGCATCTGATCTGTAATTTCATACTATCTGAAGAGTTTTATTTGAAATTATAAGACCCTTTTCCTAACTGTGAAAACAAAACCAGGTATGAGTGAGCAGAACGACAAAAATGTGCAGAATTTCAACCTGCAGGATGCCTGTATGTGATACTGGAGTAACCCACTCGTATCCTGCCATAACCACAATTGCTCTATATCTGAACTTTTAAAAAAGAACACAAGCACGTGTTTAGTTTTAAAGATACATCTAACTATTAAGCTGCACAAGAGCTTCATCCAAAAATTGCTAAAGCTCTCCTATCTCCTCCTTCTCTTGCAATCTTTTTGGAGTCACCAGAAATTGAAAACCACCATACCCTGAAAGCAACCTTTTCTGTGCTGCCATCATAAACTTACAACCCTCTGTCTCCTTACCAAGCACAGAATATATGTGAAAATCAATTCTTATTATCTGAAATACAAGTCTGATGGTAGCAGAATATCATACTGCAGTGGCTCAAGCAAAATCTGGTGGCAATATAGAGAAGTGATCATTAAGGGTGGAAAACATATCAGACCACAACTCAGGTTCAATGCCATTAAGGCTCCCTTTGATCAGAAAACAATGGCA